AATTGTGGATATGGTTGCTCCTTGTCGTTATGTCAAATCTACTCATGTGTCATCCGCCCCTTGGTTTGACTCTGAATGTCGTTCATTAAAACGCAATTGTCGAAAACGGAACGATTGTATAGGAAAATGAAAAATGATATTAATCGAAATGCATGGCGCTTAGCGTTAAAAGAAAAAATACAACAATTTTCCCAAAAAAGAAACAAATTTTGGTCAAATCAAGTTGATTCGTTTAAAAAACAACCAAAAAAATTGTGAAATATCCTCGACACAATTTTATCTAAAAATCACAATAATAACCATTCAAATGATTTCTCCCCCAATGATTTTATAACATTTTTTGTGAATAAAATCAATAATATTAGTAGCACGACTATAGAAAATACTAACAAACCAATCCAGTTTGAGTATGTCTCTAGGGTCGTCTCTCCTGAAGCAATTGTTAATCTTTCAGATTTTCAAATGTGCACGCCAGATGAATTGCGTAAAATAGTTTGTGACTCCCCTGGCAGTTCTTGTTCTCTTGATCTGATTCCAACATACATATTTAAAAAATTTATAGATCTTTTTTTGCCATTTTTGACATTTTTGTCAACCAATGTTTATCAACTGGCAGTTTTCCCAACCCTTTGAAACATGCTATTATAACCCCACTTCTAAAAAAATCAAATTTGGACGACAACGTTTTATCAAATTACCGTTCTATCTCTAATCTTTCATTCATTTCTAAAGTCATTGAACGAGTTGTTATCAAACAATTGTTACAGCATTTAAACAAAAACAATTTGTTGCCAAAGAATCAATCCGGCTATCGTCAATATTTTTCCACAGAAACTGCACTCATTGATATTTTCTCCCAGTTGTTCTCTTCAGTTGACAGTCAATGCGTTTCTTTTTTAGCATTACTTGATATGAGTGCTGCATTTGATTGTGTCGATCATACTCGTCTCATATATAAACTCTCCACAAATTTTTTTCTCTCTGATTCAGTCTTATCGTGGTTCGCTTCCTATCTTTTAGGCCGCACCCAGCAGGTTTCTTACAACAACACCTTCTCTGACATAAACAAACTATCGTTTGGTGTCCCCCAGGGATCTGTGTTGGGACCTCTGTTGTTTCTTATGTACACTGCTGATGTTTTTGATATCATTCAAAAATATGAGTTCAGCTCCCACGCCTTTGCTGATGATATTCAGTTATTGGTTTCTTGTCCTGTTGATTCGATTGATGCTTCTCTGAATGAACTGACTGACTGTCTCATCGAAATTGGATCTTGGACGAGTATGAATCAGTTAAAGTTAAATCAATCTAAAACACAAATATTACCGGTTGGTTCTTGGCAACAGCTGTCGAAGGTCAAAATTTCATCGATCAGTGTCGGCAATGACATCATTGAATTTTCCACATCTGTCCGTAGTCTTGGAGTTATTATTGACTCCAACCTAAAAGTGGATTTACATATTAATAATTTAGTGAGGGTCTGCTCCAACCAACTCCGTTTATTACGCAATGTCAAAAAATCACTAAACACGTCTGTTCTTCAAAGCTTGGTTTCCTCTTTCGTCTTTTCCAGACTAGACTACTGCAATGGCCTTTTTTATGGTGACCAAAAGGTCTTTTTCAAAGCTTCAGTCAATACAGAATCGTGCGGCCAAGCTAGTTTTGGGTGGTTCGTGGTTCGATCATGTTACGCCTATTTTGAACAGGTTGCACTGGTTGAGGGTTGAAAAACGTGTTTCCTTCAAGTTGGCAGTTTTGATGTTTAAATGTGTCAATAATATAGCACCTCCCTTACCTCATCGATAGATTGGAATCATACAAATCTCATTTTTCAAAATATTCCTTCCGATCAACCGAGCGCAATTTATTTTTTATCCCGACCACAAAGTTGGTGACGGGTTCCCGCAACTTTGCGGTTCTTGGCCCGACTGTTTGGAATGGTTTACCTCCATACTTACGTGACCCTAGCCTATCATATTTACAATTTCGAAGTCAACTTAAAACTTATTTATTTGCACAATGAATGTCCGTCTTATTTGTCTATGATTTAGTAGCGCTTTTGAGATTCAACAATAAAAAAGCGCAGTATATAAATTTCCGTAATAATAATAATAATAATTATTATACAGTTGTAATAAATATTATTAAAATATTAGAAACATTTATATTACCACAAGCGGTTTTATGTCTACGATGGAATAAGTTGGAATTTTTTCCGAGACTTAATATGAAATCAGGATTTTGGGAGATCTAGCGTTATTCATATTTTTCATCCCGTAACAACGTTTATATTTAAGCTCGTTGGTGACTGACGGTTCCCTGACGAACAAGCAAATTATCAATTGAATTGTATAAAATACTTAAATAAGATTTCATTGACCGGTTGGTTGAACTATTCATTTGGGGACCTCATTTAAGATGGGCCCCAAGAAACGATGAATTGTTATTTTTAGAGTTCACGAAAAGTGTTAGCCACACAATTTGTATGTTGAGTTTGCATGAGGTCCAAAGTTTCAAGTGGAATTTTTAAACTTATATTTGCAAATAATACGTGCCGGTGATGGATGAATGCCACTTGGCAGCATAATCGATGGTGGCAAGCTCTGGTGATTTGGGAAGAACATAATCGATCTAGCTCGACTGATTAACGAATTCAAATCTGTTATTCTGTTTTTAAAAAAATAAAAACTAAGTCAGACCTGACGACTTGAAGCCGTCTGCATTGTTTTGGTTGTGTGTGGATGCCAAGTTCTCCGACTTAATTACTAGAAAAGTTCGCACGTACAAGTCAGGATGTAAACATTCAACATTAATTTTAAACGTGAAGCAAAGGAAAAGATAGTGTTTTTGTTTCTGACAATAATATACCTTAACCAGCAACATTCATCAACAAGTATTACATTACTAACATCATATCAATAAAACATCAACAACACACCAAAAATACACCAACAATACACCATTAACACACTATAAAGACAAAACCCATCAGCAGCACTACATCGCCCATACATTAAAAGCAAAGCACTTTGAGTTATTGTATTTATAGTGTGAATAAAAGCGAAATAAGCTTATTTTGTGAGTATATTGGCCGGCGAGCAATACAAATGCTATCAAGGGGGGTGCTTGATTTATTTCAGGATGGTACCGTGTTTTATGTGAGCCTGAAACATTTGATTGGTGATGTTGATGTCTTCGTCTGAATCAACTGAGTGTTGGTGTCTTCGACTCTGTGCTGCTTAATTCAATTGGCTCGTGTGATTTCACTGCTGATGTCGCGGTTGTTGTTAATTTGCTTGATGGTTATTTTATTGATGTGAGTTGTTTATGGCTGTCGTTGTCGTTGTTGTTCGTGTTGTTAATTTGTTGAAGTGATTGATGTTGAGGTAGTTGTTGTTGAAATAGCCAAGGGTTGTTGCTATATATTGTCGTTCAACGTTGCTGTTTTTATTAATGATGTTATCAGTCTTAAATTTTTTATAGCTTTGCAATTGTTATTGTTATTAGTATTAATTTGTTTTCATTTGAACTTGTTAATAATTGCTTGTAGAGAAGAATGAGTTAGAGAAGTTTCAGTTGAATGAATTTTTCCACTTATACCGTTACATTTGTTCGTTATTTTAAAATCGATCCCATAATAGCTACTGAATCCATGCTTTTATTTTTTTAACAACAACAACAACAGCAAAAATTTTGTTCTTCCACATAGAAAAAAAACTCAAAATGTGCACTTCATACTCTCACTATTTTTATTGCATTTTCAAAAAAATATTGTCAACATTGTACGCAGACAACATTGTCAACTCATATTATAAATGGAGTGAGAAAAAAAAGAGTTCAACATCTATAAATAGTGGCTGGGAATTTTGAATATATATTGGAAAAACAAACATTAAAATAAAAAATATCATTTTCATTATTATGATTATTATTTTACCATCATCATCATCAACCTCCTCTCAATTGTAATCGAAACTCTACTCAAGCCAACAACCTCATCAATTATTATTATCGTCGTTATCACATCTTTATTTCACGTCATCATCAACATCATCATCTTCGTCGTCTTCTTCGCATCTTCTACCATCGTCATCATCACGTTTCTTCTTTACTTGTCATCACTCTCACCTTCTGTTTAAGAGGAAACATTCTAAATAATTAAACAATCACAAACTGTTTGCAATTTCAATTTAGAATGAAGTTAATCATGTTAGCGTTGAATTATTCCAAGTAGGTATGCGCGTTGACAGCAAGCACGATGTTGTTGGCTTCATCACGCCCACACACCACACACACACACACACACAGAGAGAGAGAGAGAGAGAGAGAGAGAGAGAGAGAGAGAGAGAGAGAGAGAGAGAGAGAGAGAGAGAGAAAGAAAGAAAGAAAGAAAGAGAGAGAGAAAGAGAGAGAGAGTATGCCAACAAATATTTGTCATATATGCGAACACTTCAGTTTAATGACATCACTCTCTAATATTCTCCAAAAAAAATGAGGCGCAACAAAATAGAGACAGACTCTTCCATACTATGTGTGTATGTATGGAGTGAGAATCTAGGTGGAGTTCACTTGAATGGAACGCTGTGCATTCGAACACTTGCACGCACCAGCGTGCATTCATTTAATCTAACAAACATTCTATGAATCAAATCACATGTGATTGATTCAATGCGTATTTCATCTTGTTCACTTTTTCACATTTAGTTACTTCTTGAAAATTTTTTAATTTAAACTAACAATCATACAAACCACTCTCAAAGTTTCAACACGACTAACCAATCTACCGACCAACCAACCGACCGATCTACTTACTGATTGATTGACCAAGCAACCAACTAGCCAACCGGCCGACCAGCCAACCAACCAGCCAACCAACCAACCAACCAACCAACCAACCAACCAACCAACCAGCCAGCCAGCCAGCCAACCAACAACCAACCAACCAACCAACCAACCAACCAGCCAGCCAGCCAACCAACCAACCAACCAACCAACCAACCTCCTTTCCAGCAGATGTAGGGCAGAAACCTTCCACTTTTTGTTTTCTTGAAGCAGAATCCCTGGTGTCTGCCTCTCTTCTCAACTCTGGCACCTCCATCTCCAACTTCAGCGTCTTGAAGAACTTCAGGGTTTACTCGATTCTCACCGATCAGCTGTGCGTGTGTAAGTGTGTATGCGCGTGAGTGTTTATGTGCGTGTGTGAATTGTTTATTTCCATAGCTGGGATGATATACTGCGTTTTTTTTATTTTAAAAACGAATAGAAGCTGGAATGACAAGTGGAAAAAAATTATTTTGGTCAGCGTAAAATTTTAAAAATAAAAATATCAACCAGAAATGCAATGAGAAGCACACTGCTTATATATTTCGGCACTTGAAAAAGGCATTTTCAATAAATGGCACTCACCTGAAGTTTTGAAAAAATAAAATTCAATATAATATTTATAGAAAAAAATTTGATGTTTCTATTCACTGGCGCGTTTTTAAACTTTAAAACATTCATGAAGTGAAACGTCACAGTTGACAGCTGATTAAAAGGGAGAACATGACGTGCCGTGTTGAAGCGGATTCCTGTCATATTCTTGAAACAATGGCACTTCACAGCACACCATATCGCACGGATGTTGAAATATTAAAAGCTACTGATGTCATTTTTGAAATTTGGCATAAAGGAAGAAATGATCATTTTAAGACAGACAATGACAACCATCCAACAAACCAGCCAACCAGCCAGCCAGCCAGTCAGCCAGCCAGCCAGCCAGCCAACCAACCATCCAACCAACCAGCCAGCCAGCCAACCAGCCAACCAGCCAACCAGCCAGCCAGCCAGCCAACCAACCATCCAACCAACCAGCCAGCCAGCCAGCCAGCCAACCAGCCAACCAGCCAGCCAGCCGCATGTTTAATATGCCACTTCACGTCAGTTCGATCCTAACCTCACGAGCAATAACAACTCAATATTGAGTATCGTAAACTGCGTCGTATATTTTTACGCTCCAAATTTTCTTTTTAAATATGCACACGCATGCGCCAAGATTTAAGATACACACACACACACATGCACACACACAAAAAACACACACATGTGCACGTTCACACACAAACACACACCCTTACACACACATATATACACGTACACACACATATACCCGTACACACAAACACACATATATGTACACAGACAATTCCACATAAATATATTTTTAACAATTCGCAGATTCAAGTACACGCAAATTTCAAATAAAAATATCTCGTTCAGAGCTTGCAAAAGATGCTAACATGATAAACATCTCTTAAATTATTTTGCTGACGTTGAGACTAACAGGATTTAAGACAACGTTTGATGTTGGAATGATTACGGTTGATTAAAGAAGATGACTTAACTTGTTATTACAGCTACACAAGTTTGACAGTTTAGCCCTAACGGCATGAGTCTATGTCTCAAGTTGAGGCATTGGGAGACGACCTGTCTCAGATTTCATTTTTCTAAAACTTAGAGATAATCATCCCACATGTCTTGTGTGTTTTGTTTGAACAGCTTGCTTTCCTTCCAAAACCTAAAAAAGTTCGGAACATAAACTGTGACATGGTAAATTATTACGGCCAAATTTTGATACTGCCTAGGTGTTGGTGTTGAAGTGAACAAGTGACGCGTGAGATGAAACAAATATAAGGTGATCAATTACAAAAACATTTTAAATAAAATTTTACTACGGTTACATTGACTTAAAATGTTTGTTCTACGTGTATAAGGTACGAATCATGTAATGGATTTGTAGAAAGCTTTCCATTGTCCAGCGAGGCGAACATTTTGAACTGTTCATTTCCGATGACTGTGCATGAATTAATTAGTAAATTCAATTCAGCGGCAAGCAATGTTGTAAGCAGAGTCCGAGTGGTTGTTAATTTCATTAGTTCAAATTGATTTCTTTCTCAAATTCAAAAGGTGCCAAAAGGGTCTTTTTTAAAAATCTGCAATTTCTTCTCTTCAATGCATTCAAGCGAAATTATTTTTTTTCTAAAATGTTTTTCAAAATTTTTCTTTGCTACATAATGAATGCAACAATATAACATAGCGACAGTTCAATGGAACAACAATGCAATCTTGCAACAAAGACAGACAGTACGATAAATAACATCTTATTATAAACAATCAATACAGCAAACAATACCTCAATACAACAAACAAACAAGGTTTCTTAACAAACAAACAAACAAACAAACAATACCTCATTTTAACGAACAATACCTCAATACAACGAACATTACCTCTATACAACGAACAATATCTCGGTATAACGAACAATACCTCAATACAACGAACAATACCTCAATTCAAAATACCCACCTCTTGGATTGACAGATAGACCAATTCTTTGAAGTTGTTCTCGAGATTTCTCGTCTCCAACCACGTGGCTCTCGTCTCCTCCTCGGTTTGTGGAGACTGCTGGTGTAAATTTAACATAACTTTTCATTCTATTTTGAAAAGATTATTATTTTACAATTATAATTATTATGATTATTATGATTATTTTTATTATTCTTATTATTATTATTACTGATTTAATTATTGAGTACTTTTTGTACTTTTCAATTTTAATCACCTAATCAGTACCTACACGTCTAGTAAATATTCACATAAAATTCTATTTGATTATTTTTTTCCAGCCATCCAGTCAATCAATGAAACCATCTTATTAACCTCACTGGATTTTTTCTTGGCGGGAACAGCCAGGCACAATGACGTCACGAGAACAGACACGATGATCACGTGAGACAGTGACGTATGCATGGCGGGCGTGTTGAGAACGATGGCAGCGATATTCAAGCTGTCGATTATTTTTCAGTCAATTTCTTTACGCGAGACCTGGGGGGAAGTTAGAAAAATAATTTGTTTCTAACGTTCCTAGCAACAATAATAAAGAAATCGCCCTGCCTCTTTAGGCTTAGAAGCGTTGGAATAAATCTTTTTTTATATTTACTTTTGCTGATCATCATAATTTTTTAACGGCTTTTTTTTTAGACAGAAGGAATGAAATAGAACAAAAGTTTCAACAAATTGTGGATGTATCCATGTTTATTTGGTTTGTTTATTTGTTTGTCTAAGAAAATAATTTAAAATGTACAAACAAAATTGTTAAAAAATTTTTGCAATTTTTTAAAATGAAAAAAGACAATTGCGACATAAATAACAAAAATGTTTTGTTCAATTAAAAGAACGGTTGCCAGGATGGATTAATAAAGAAGCAGCAGTAGTAGGATTGTGTGACAAGGAGTCACAAATTGTGACGAAATGTTAAATGATGGCCTCAAATAGTAATTGGATCTTCTTACAATTGCTTTCCAACGCATGCCGTGTAAATGTCTCCACTCAAATGACTCTATCAATTGAATTACATAAAATAAAACACAGAGTTATAATTATAGGAAATTTTATTGTTGCGAAAAATATTTAACTAGGAAATGTAACACACCAGTTTGAATAAATTCAGTTAAATACGCATTAGTTTTGTTCTTAAAAAATTCATTTGAGTGAGGAAAAGTTTATTGAAAAAAGAAATTTTCATTGTTGAGGATATTATGGCTGAGTAATAACAAAATGAAAAAAATATAAAATAAAACTCGAAATGTGAAGAACAGGATTGAACATGTAAAAAATTGTGAAAGCCAGAGATAGATAGGCGACTACGTTGAACAAAACTGAGTAGGATTATAAAAAAAGGAGCAATGCGATCAGACAAGCAGGTGAGTCTGCACTCACACACGCAACTGAGTGAGAACGCTTTTAAAGAAAATAAGTGGAGAATGACCGAGTGAATGAAATTTAATATAATAAGGTAAAAGATAACAATACAAAGTGAAAAACGTTCAAAACCAGGCAGAACTAAGCAACTATGCAAGCAAACATATAAACAAGAAAACAAGCAAATATAGAAACAAGTAAATGCAGAATCAAACAAATAAACAAACATAGAAATGAGCAAACAAACAATCATCAAAACAAGCAATCAGAAAGATTGGAAGTGCTTTCAGTAAGGCTCCAGGCATAGTCTGGTGCGGTTCCTCAAAATGAAATGGATTTACGGAAAATTCTTCGCAGAATTTGCGACGAATTTTCTGCGAAGAATTTTCCCTGCGAAGAATTTTCGAACACCGATGTTTTTTAAAAGTTTGCAGTTTACACTATTTATTGACCTTTCAGTGGCGGATCTAGGGTTGAGGAACAGGGAGGGCTATGGCCCCCGTTGTGAATTGTTATTAAAATTCGGTAAAACTCACTTTTTACACAGAAAAAACCGTTTTATTTAGAAAAACGACTAAAAATTATAAAAAAATTTGTCTAAATATGCCACTGTTTGTCGTATTTGTATTCATTTGATCCTCGCATATAAATATGGCTTGATATTAAATATATTTTGAGTATTCTAGATAAAAGTTTCTTGTTTTGGTTTTTGTGGAATTTTATCAGATCTAGGAAAAAATTATTTTTAAAAATAGTTTTTCGATTTATTCCGTCATTAAAGCAGTGTACAACAGATGAAAAGCCATGCAAGACAAAACGCATCCTGAAAGCCGAAATATAAAATTAATTTATGAAGAGCAGTGTTGGTACATCACGTTGTTTAGCATCTCTCTCTCTCTCTCCCTCTCTTTCTCTTTTTTTGTGTGTGTGTGTGGTGTGTGTGTGCGCGCGCGCGTGTGTGTGTGTATGTATGTGTGTGTGTGTGTGTGTGTGTGTGTGTGTGTGTGTGTGTGTGTGTGTGTGTGTGTGTGTGTGGATAGTTGCTCATTCATAATTGACAGATATTGGGAAGTTGGATGGAGCAAAATTTGATTTGCAACATGGCAGTGATTGATGGATGGATGGATGGGTGGGTGGCTGCTGGTGCTGCTGGTGGTTGGTGGTGAGTCGTGTTTGTTGCAGTCGCTGGTGCTGATATATTCTTGCTGAAATAATTTAATATACAGAAGCAATAAATTTGGTCATACAAATCTGGTTTGAAAGTTTAAAAAATTGATTTATATGAATAAATAAATAAATATACACACTTTCATATGTATAATAAATAAAAGATTAATAAATAAATAAATAAAAGATTAATGAATAAATAAATAAATAAAAGGTTAATAAATAAATAAAAGATCACTAAATAAATGATTATACAAAGGCTTACCTCTGCATATTGTTAATATTATCAAGCAAAGACATACAGAAACACATTGAGCGGGGAAATTTTACGCAAGGCTTTTATAAAGGTCAGGTTATCAGGATAAATTTGTTAGAATTGTTAGATAAATCATGAAACAAAATCGTGAATAAAATTTCTGCACTTTCATATTCCGAATAATGTCCATCATTTTTTCTCTTTTTCATTTACACACTATATAATAATCAGATCGTAGATGTCACAAGTTGGCCTCAAATAGCTTCATAAAACTTTTGAAAATGCTCCATCTAGTATATTTAAATGATGAATTAAAAATTTGTTGATTGACTTTTGAACTTGAAAAATCTCGTGCTTCCTACATTCAGAGGGAACGAGCACTACCAATAAAACAAAATGCACGTTGCAATTTGTTTCCGCTGAATTTTCGACTCTATAAACAAAACAATGCAATAAAAAAAATGATGGCCGTCCAAAAAATATGAAAGATGTACGGTGAGCACATATAATATGGCATGCATGCAAATACATACACACTTTCATAAACCAATACACACACAATTACACATACACATATGCAAATACACATACATACAAATACATGCCAGTGATAGTTTCATTTCATGACGGTATAAATTCATTGGAAACAATTTGCTCATGTTCAGCGATGACATGCCCATTGTTTTGTAGCTATCAGCCTACATGACGTGATGCGTGCCACGGTGTTTTATTGCAAAAGTTGGAAGCCTTCCAAATGTTTTTGTATGTATGTATGTATGTTTGTTTGTTTGTTTGTTTGTTTGTATGTATGTTTGTATGTTTGTTTGAATGAATGAATGCTGATTGATCAATTTATCCATTGAAATAATGAATATCATATGACAATTTGACAATGCCGGAAAACATTAAGGGGTATGGATCGCTCGATCAATTTTGTGACAAATAAATTTTATTCGAAGGCGCCTTCTATGTATTGTAAATTATGTTTGTTTCTCGTTTTGTCTGCTATAAAATTTCCAGCTTCAAATATAATTTTTGAATATGATTAAAAAATGTTTAAACTGTTGAAGTTTTTTTCATTTAAGAATAATCTAAATTGAGAATTAATTTTTAAAGGAACATTGCGTGGTACTGCGGACCATCTAATGTTTAATGAATTAAACCATTTTTACTAAATGAATATTACAAATAAATAAATGAGATTTATGAATATTTATGACGATAAATTATTCCTGAGACGTGAATATAGGTGAGCATGAAAAATTTAAAAGTGGTTATTAACTTAGACATTCGACATTTAAAAAAATCTATTTGAAGTCTAAAACATTATTTAATAAATTAGAAAAGTTTCTTACGTTGGAAAAACAATTAAGATCTAAAATAAATATATTTTTTAATGATTTTCGGTATTATTTCAATGGATAACTGAATTAACTCTCAACAACGATTCCTATTTATAAGTTCAGTTAAAGCTGAATGGATCTTGTTTATAATTAAGTTGAGTCTCCATAGACGTTGGCCATATGATGAAAATAACGCCCCATTGAAGTTATTTTACATGGAATAAGCCACTATTGAGGTCCATTTTTGAGTTACTACCATGTCTCAAAGTACTTATGAATTACAATAATATTCATGTTTGATCCATGACCAGCCTTCTTAGGCAGTAAAGGATTTAGAAAATTTAAGGCGATCCGTTTCGAGCAGTATTTTTTATAAAACCATTAAAAGTTATTGTTTTAACAGAAAAAACACTACTGTTTTATGTTGAAAGGATCGGCCAAAAATGGATGTGAGAAGCGAGAAAGTTGTTAGCCGAACAATCGCAAATGTTGCCATCTTTCCGTAAAAATTTTGGCTCTTTCCGTAAAAAATTAAACATTTTAAGAATTTTGGCCGGCCCTCGTCAAAGTTGTCTGCCATGATCTGCCATCTGATTTCCTTAGGCAGAGACAAACGATGTTCTAGTTTGCAACACGCAGGTTAGGTTGTTGAGGCATTTCAATGAGACACAACCGGCCTTTAAAATAAAAAAGTAAACAAACATCGCAGAGTGGGCAACATAGAGTTTTCCAGTCCATGAATTATTATGTAAAAAAATAAAAATTAATGAAGGAGTGAATAAATATGAGAGCGTTAATTAAATTTTCTTTGAAATTTCCCTTGAATGATTTCGCAAAGTTTCAACTTGATTGTAAGTGTCGAACGTTTATATTTCTTTTTTAAACCCCCAACAGATTCGGTTGAGACATTTGTTCATTGTTGATATATGTACTACATTAAATAACGCTGCTGAAAATCTCGAATCACCTTCATTCAAGACACGAACACACCGCGGAACACATGCATGCATGTGATCATTGAATTAAAATCTACCCACCTTCAAAAGAAATGTGTGCGTGTGTGTGTGTGTGTGCGTGTAAAAAATTTCTTGTTTACAACTTTATTTTTAGCAGCGGTATAAAAAAATTAAAAACGAAATTCGTCCGCCATCTTGTAAAATAGAAAATATAGTGATGACGTAGAGAATGAGGAAGCCAATGAAATTTATTCATTTTCGTGAGGCCTCTGCTGATTGGTCGGCTTGCAACTCGATCAATACTCACCTGCTTCTGAAGGAGAGAGATAGTGACTGAAAAAAGAGAGAGAGAGGGAGATAGATAGATAGATAGAGAGAAAGAGAGAGAAAGAACATAACGACGAGAGAGTGATCACAGAGAGAGAGAGAGAGAGAGAGAGAGAGAGAGAGAGAGAGAGAGAGAGAAAAAGAGAAAATATAACGATGAGATAGTGATCACAAAAAGAGAAGGAATATAACGAAGAGGTGGTGGTTACAATGGGAAAGATAGTGATTATGAAGAGAGGGGTGTTGCAGTGGTGAGAGGATTATGAAGAGAAAAATGTATCAAAGAGATAGTGATCACGAGGAGAGAGGTACAAAACTGAGAGAGAAAGTGGGAAAAAGTAAGTGAGTGAGTGAGTGAGGGAGTGAGGGAGTGAGTGTGATAGTGAGCGACTACAAAACAAAAGGATATGTGAGAATAAAATGGAGCTAAAAATTTCGGCTGTTTCCTGATGAAATATTCACACAAATGGGAATAATCAATGAACTAGTGGGAGGATGATGATGATGATGATGATGATGAGGATGATGATGATGATGATGGTGGTGGCGATAAGGTTAGTGATGATAAGGATAGTAATGATTATGACGATGTTATTATTTTTGTTGTTACTATTCTAGGGAGTGTAATGTATTTTTGTTGCTATGTTGGTGTGATGCGTTATGCTGATGCTATCATTCACGTGATATTGATGTTATCACGTGATGTTGATGTTATTACGTGATGTTGATGTTACCACGTGATATTGATGTTATCACGTGATGTTGATGTTACCACTTGATATTGATGTTATCACGTGATGTTGATGTTATCACGTGATGTCGATACTATCACGTGATATCGAGGCTATTACGTGATGTTGATGTTATCGATCACGTGATGTTGATGTTACCACGTGGTATTATCACGATGGTAATGGTGCCATTCTTATATAAATAGCGACATGGATTATTGTAGAGTGTTTGGGAGATATTTTTAAAACAATCATTTGTATATATCATAACGATTATAACAACTTTATGTAGTGGGTGATCAAAATGATGGTGATGCTGACGACGACGATGATGATGAAGATGGAAAAGAAGGAGTTGATGACGACGATGCTGTAGCTGTTGATGACGATGTCGGTGATTATGAAAATAACTCAGCTCCTGATGACGTCATTGGTGGAGAATTAGGAGCCAATTAATTAATAGTGGTACGAAGAGTGAAGAAAGTGTAGTGGTGGTGATCAATTTAATGGGCTTTTATGATGATGGTGATGATGGTGATAATTTTATGATGATAATGATGATGATAATTTTATGATGATAATGATGATGATAATTTTATGATGATGATGATGAAAATTTTATGATGATAATGATGCTTGTGATAAAGATGATGATGGTGATGATTACGACGATGACGTTTATAATGTGGGCGCAACCGATGAATGAATTCATTATTGATGTTTTAATGGCGGTGCGCTCTGTACTACCGCTGCTATTATCATTGTAATATAATATAACGCAATGTTGATGTGATCACGTGATGTTGTTGTGATCACGTGATGTTGTTGTGATCACGTGATGTTGTTGTGATCACGTGATATTGATGTGATTATGTGATGCCGATGAAGTCACGTGATGTGATCCCGTGATGTTGATGTGATCACGTGATGTTGATGTGATCACGTAATGTTGATGTGATTATGTGATGCTGATGAAATCACTTGATGTTGATGTGGTCACGTGATGCCGATAAAATCGCATGATGTGATCCCGTGATGTTGATGGGACCACGTGATGTTGATGTGATCACGTGATGTTAAAATGATAACCTTAAATTAATATTAAAATGATGACGTGATGATGACGTGATGATGTCAGCGTGAGTGAATGTTTCGAGGTTCTGCTTGGATGACGATGATTGCTAGTGATGACGACCACGATGATGATGAAGAAGAGGATGATGATTGTTATTGATGATGATGATGACGACAAAGATGATGATGATGATTGGCTACAGTGCACAATGTGTTTAGCAGCATGCAGGATTGCAGGTGATTCTACAATCTACATGGTCTGATCGCGTCTTCGTCGTTTTGTTGCCAGTGCATGTTACGATGATGTTAAGTTTTTGTTGTTGTTGTTGTGTTGATGTTGTTGTGTTGATGTTGTGTTGATGTTGTGGTGTTGTTGTGTTGATGTTGTGGTGTTGTTGTGTTTATTTTGTGTTGATGTTGTATTGATGTTGTTGTTGTTGTGTTGATGTTGTGTTGATGTTATGTTGATGTTGTGTTGATGTTGTGTTGTTGTGTTGTTGTTGTGTTGTTGTTGTGTTGATGTTGTGTTGCTACGTTTAGCAACTTTCATGCTGTTGTTGTTTTTACATGATTGCATGTTTATATAATCAACGTTTTGTTGTTGTTGTTGTCGCAGTGATGCTGTTGTTAACACGGCAACTAAATAGCACCAGCTACATTACCATCAGAACATAACAACATTGCAGAATTAGCATATCATAAACTCATAAAAATCATTCTAAAAAATATAATGTACCTAAGAACAACAAAAGAGCAGCAACCTACCAAGAACACCCCCCTCCCACAAACACCCTCTTCTATAAACACCCCCTTTCCTCAAACACCCCTCCCACAAACACCCTCTTCTACAAACAACCCCATTTTTCAAACACCCCCTCCCACAAACACCACCCATGTACATTCACACACCACCAGAAACAAAACAATGGATGAAACTGAATAAATTTAAATACATCAACATCAATATCAATAAATACATATTTCATCACAGTTGCTTTTTAGCGCACACACACTGGCTAACAAATCATGCACAGGATTCGTTTATGTAGACTTAAACAAACATTTAGAACTGAACCTGCATTATATCGGTCGTCATTATAACATACATACAATATAAATTTTTGTATCTATTGAAGAAGGAAACATAAAAATGTACATGCAAACATAAAAATGTACAAACAAACAAACAATATACATACAAACAAACAAGCAGCAGATATACAAAAATACATAAAACAAACATGCATCTTCAAATGACCATACAACGTACTAACAAACAAACATACAAACATACATACAAACATGCAAACAAGCATACATACATACATACAAACAAAAATAAATACAAACAAACATACATACATACATACAAACATACAAACATATATACATACAAACATACATACAAAAAACAAACACACATACAAAGCACATACAACATACACACATCTCAAAAGAGATAGAGTGAATGAATGTTCATTAAGGCCCACACACAGATACCTCACATCCATCTCAGAGATGCTACCCACTCGAGCCCCAGGTCCAGCCAAACCAAAACAATCAACACCAGTCGAGACAGCACTAACTTGCGATGCATTGCTCCGATGTATCGATGTAATGAGTGTCAGACTATTTAAAAAACATAATGTACACGCGGGGGAAAGTTTCGCCATAATTTGTTTTATTATTTGAAAATAAACATACATACAAAATGTTTTAAAAGCGGCTTTTAAGATAAAATAGAAGTTTTTTGTTCTTCTCCGTAAGAAACTGCGAGATTTTATTTTGTTTAGTTTTAGTTAGAAGTAGAACGCTGATGCATGCATTTCAATAGTCATGTTCATAGTGGCCGATCCTAAATGACCGGGCCGGATTTGAAAAGTTGTCCAAAAATTACTGGACGACCGGAAAGGGAATTTCAACAACAAAAAGAAGATGACTGGAGGGAATAATGCAGAAATATTTTTTGAAAATTTTTCAATGTTCAGCGTCAGCGGGGGGGGCAACTTTGTGACGGGGTGAGGCAAACTATTTTAGTAACGTCAATTTTTCATTCAAAAACACTGCTTTTTCGTTAAAGTAACAAGTTTTACTGACTCTGAATAAGAATACTGTCCGCAACGGGGGAGGGACAATGCCCTCTCCTACCACCTACCCTCTCTTACTAGATCCGCCACTGCATGTTCACATGGTAAAAATATCAAGCAAACGTGGTTGGTGATTCCTTTCCATTGCAACCCTCAACTCACTCGGGCAGTTGTTCTTACTGGTCATGTTGGGTCATTCATTTGTCATTCGTGTTTGCAAAGCAAAATGTAATACACGCCACTGAACTTTATAAGATTCAATTAAGTAGGAGTTGAGTACAAAACTGCATAACGTACAGCGGACGGATTATATAACATTTCATCTCTTCGTACATTTTTACATCCATTTCGTTCGTTCGTTCGTTCATACATTCATTTATTCGTACTTTCGTTCGTTCGTTCATTCATTCATTCATTAATTGTTTTTTCATTCGTTCGTTCGTTCACCGCTTAGTTAGATCAATAAAACAGTTCACGTTCAGTCAGCGCCGGTGATTAAATGAGATCTCCTGAACATTTCAGGCTTGCATTTAAGATGATAGATAATAATAATAATCATAATAATATTCATAATAATAGTCATAACAATAATTATAATAATAATCATAATAATAATAATCATAATAATAATAATTACAATAATCATAATAATAATAATCACAATATAAAAACCAGGTTAGCAAGCATAACCATGAGTTATGGCGAAGCTGGATGGCAAAAGCCTTCAACGCATTGCCAACGCATTCAGTCGCCTGCGGTGCAGTTCATACATCATCACGTGTGCATACATACACACACACACACACACACACCTACACACACACACACACAGTCATACACACACATACACGCACGCACACACACACACACACACACACACGCACACACAGCCATACACACACAGCCATACACACACAAACACACACATACACACACATACACACACCTACACACATGTATTTATGAGGGCGTGAACTATTGCAAACAATATGATGTGTGGGCGTTTGGCATCTAAATAATGCGTGCGAATATTTTTCCAGGCCTGTTATCACCGTTATAATAATAATCATAATAAAAATAATAATGATAATAAAAATAATAATAATAACAATAATAGCTTTTTTGCTGAAATTGAATAATAATGATAATAATAATAATAATAATAATAATAATAATTATTATTATTATTACATTTGCACTCCACAATTGCCATAACTTAGAACGTGAAAAGCACCACAGTGCCACGTACGTCTAGCTCTTTAAATTATCATCAGTGGCAAAGCTGTGATTGTTGTTATTATCAATGTCTTTATTACTATTGTTATTATTATTATTGTTGTTATCATTGATGAAAGAATGTGACGAAAGAATGAGTGTTGGAGGACCATGGATGAGACCAGGCAGCAGTCTAGATAGGCTAATGTGCATGGAGTGATGATTCACGGCGCTGTTGGCAGAGTGACTGGTCGTTCGCTGGTGCGCTTGTTCGTCTTGCCGCCTCATAATACATCAAAATATAATTCAACAACAAATAAACACGATGCAGCAACAGGTTGCAACAACACAGCAACATTCAGTATATTGAAACAACACGGCTGAACAGTGAACACGTTAGGCACAGTGAAACACAACACATTATTTACAAACAACAAACACAACGACACGAAACGGTGTTGTGTTTGTTGTGTTCATTCACGACACAGAACAAACAAATGTGAAATTTTAATGTTGAATGTGGAAGAGAGAATAAAAGGCAGATACGTGTGGCAACAACGCGTGTGGCGTCTGTATGACGTGTCTTTTTTTTCTTATACTCAGTGTAACTTATACATTTTGTGACCATAGTTTGTATTTTATGCCTCATACCTTGCATGTTGTTTGCGTTCGACAGAGTTTGCTATGCTATGGAGTCTTATTAGTACGTGTTTGTCGTTTGTGTGCGTGCATGTTAAGTACACACACGTGCACGTGCAAAGACAATTCATTATTGGTCGGGTTAGAGATTTCTCTGCATTCAAACCCGGTTACTTCATCGCAGAAGTCGAGCTGGATGCTTTGCCAGGACAGATTCTACCATATGACATCCTATTTCAGCAGTCCAACACAAAACATCATTACAGCGCAATGGATGGCTATGTTTTTTTCAACATTCACACACAAACACACGCACACATACACAAACATACGCATACATACACAAACACACATACACACATACAAACTCATAAACAAATAAATACACACCCATGCACATAAACATATCCAACACATGCATATGCGCAGAGCATGTATATTTTCTTATTAAACATGCTTCCTGTATAATATACATCGTTGGTTGTTTGTTGCTGGTTGCAGGTTGCTGGTTGCAGGTTGCTGGTTTACTGTTGGGTTGTTGTTGCTGTTGAAATGAACTCACCTGCTAATATTTTATGAGGTTTGTTTTTTAGATGCAAATGACGATGATGGTGGTGATGATATCAGTGGTGGTGATGATGGTGGTGATCATAAAGTAGATGCTGCTGCTATTGTTGTTATTGTAATTGTTGTTGATGAGGGCACAGTAGTAGTAGTAGTAGTAGTAGTATTAGTAGTAGAAGTAGCAGTAGTAGTAGTAGTAGCAACAGTAGTAGTAGTAGCAACAGTAGTAGTAGTAGTAATAGTAGTAGTAGTAGTTGCTCATTGGCCATCAAGCTTCTAAGTCTCGCCTCCACTATCTTTACCGCTTCCATTGACCTTTTTGTGAGATCCTCCGATCTCTCCTCCAGACCATTTGTGTGTGTGTGTGTCTTTCCATCTTCAGCGTTGGCCCTCCAGCTACTGTTTCGATTCGACCCCCTTTCCACACAGTCGACATCCATCTTCGTCCGTGAGACAGATTCTCGCTTGTTAGCTTCTGAAAGGCATGTGATGACCGGATCGAAATCTCCTGAGGTTTGTTCATGTTTTTTTTGTCCATTTCCTCTTCCTTTTTGCCAATGGGAGCGGTGTATACCTCCTTGCATCTGTCATGCTGAAGCTGTTTGACCGCTGATCGGAACACTTCCATCTATGATCAGTGGCACAGTTACACAGTTTTCACAGTTTCCACAGTTGCACAGTCTCCACAGTTGCACAGTTTCCGCAGTTTCCACAGTTTCCACAGTTGCACAGTTTTCAGCCCCTATACGGTGCAACTGGGAGTTTATGGTTTTTGTGGACCTCGAATGGAAACAATAGTCTCAGAGCTGTTCAATGATGCTGCTGACGTTGTTGCTGCTGATGCTGATGATGATGAAGAGTGTGATGATTATTATATGGTTTTTTTCTGACAGTTAACAATCAAGCATATTGTGTTGATGATGATGATGTACTCATTGAATTGGTGATGGTGATGAAAATAGTGATGATGAGGAGGACGATGACCAGCACACAATGATGATGATGATGGTGACATTGATTGTGTGGTATGTAAAGAAGGTCAACAAATTCAACCCCAACAGCAAATTTCATTCTACGCCCCTGAACATCAACACACTTTCCTCCTCTGCCCTGCTTCTAATTTTTTCTTCATCTACCACTGCCAACTGTTCAAAATCTCATAATTGAATTCTATACTCAAGTTAATTGAATTCTTTCTATCTTCATAATCTCTCAACGTCAAACTCAGAAAGTACAAGCTGCAAGGTCTGTGAGTGTGTGTCTGTGTGTGTGTGTCTGTCTGTGTGTGTGTCTGTCTGTCTGTGTGTGTGTGTATCACGACAGCTAATAACGAGCGTAAATGCAATACAACGGAGTTATTTTCGATTGAGCGATTTGCACTGAAACTTCTGCGCAATGTCGAAGATCCTGCTCAATTGTCAATTGTTTAAAATAATCATGATACTTTTGAATAAATTGGGAGTGCATTCTGATAGATGAACGTCTGTCAGTCGAAACGATCCTGTGTGTAATGAACGGTGGGGTTGTGGTCCATTTGTTTTGAGAACGTTCAATGTGATGAGAAATTTGAAAGTGCTTTTATTTAGTGGCTGTTATCTTTAAGCATAATTTAGAAAACTTTTGTTCTCTTATGAATAATTCAACGCATTCAGCGCTACAACAATTGAGATTCATTTTTTAGTCTTCTGTAATAACAGAAAACCAGCACACATGCCTTCATGGCTAGTCAGCTATAGCAAGTAAAATAGGCCAACATTTACAAATAGACATGTTGTCGAAAGTAAGCAGGTGACTGAACAACTGTTTGCATGGCGCGTCAACAACAACAACAACAGCAGCAACAACAACAACAACAACAACAAACAACAGCAACAACAACAGCAACAAACAACAACAACAACAAACAATAACAAACAACAACAACAACAAACAAACAACAACAAAATAAAATCTTCGAACGACATCATCAGAAAATGTTGCTGTCAGCAGGGAAGCAGGTGAGAGATGGAGTGGAGTGTTGCAGCTGCTACTGCTGCTGCTTCAGGCACGCGGCATCGTTCAAACGCAATCACTCTTAATGACTTCTCTTCAGTCAGACTATTAAAAGAATTAAAATAAATTCATTTTCGTGACGAAGACGACGATGTAGTTGCTGTTAATGTTGATGAGCAGGTATGAGAATGCTTTCATGAATAAGCGAAATGAATAGGAAAAACTTATCTTCGTAATCGTATATATATAAGTCACAAAATTAATTCATTATGGCTACCATTGAAACATTCATTTTTTTCAAGAGGATTTATTAACATCCGAGCAGTTCATGTGATGTGATGTTCATGTGATGTTAATGTGATGAGAACATCCAATGTTCTATGCCCTGAAAATTTTGAACGTATTATTATGTTCTTGTGAAGAACTTCAATTTCATCCTGCAACTAAAAGATACTAATAGATTATAATGATTGTTACTTCAAATAACTAAAAAAATATTTCTACTGATTAAGCAACTGAAAAAATACCAGACCAAACTCCTCTCCAATCTGACTATGTAGCTGTCTCGAATGCGAGATCTGGACAGTCTATTGATACTTCATTTTATTTATTCAGATGCATGTCTTCAACTTGAATACACATATTAAAGATAGGGCATAAGATAGAAATTATTATATCACTGATATCAGTGATATATCACTGAAAGAACAATTTTCTTCAAACGAAATAAAATATTCAAAAGCAAAAATTTGTTGTTATAAAATTGCTTGGACCAAAATAATTTTTAAAAAACTTAAAAAAATACATTTGTGGTAGAAGGAATGATTCATTGGCAAGGTTAATGCTGCAGCAATGAATACATTGAACTTTTCGTTAGAACTAAAAAAAGAGGAAAAACTGAGTAACGGAAATTTTTCCTTCCAAAACAGAAAAAATAACTGTTTAATTAATCCGCCTACCAACAAGAAACACACTCAAATATTTATGAGGCAACTTCCAAACGCACGGAGAAAATCTTTTGTGGAATAATAAATCAATTGTAAGAACGAGTTTGCAAAGAAATTATTTATCTATGTATACTTACTTGCTATTTTTACTTTATTTCCAAATGGGTACTATGATCTTGCAAGCTGGAGAAGATGCTCAACAGCGTTCATTATGATGAAATTGATACGCACACACACACACACGCATACGCACACAAAACATATGTGGATGAACAATTATATGTAATAGATATAAATTTATATATATATATATATATATATATATATATATATATATATATATATAATATAACTCTTATAGAAATCTTAAAAGCATCACAAGCAGACCTATCTAAACATAATTCATTGTATTGAACTGAAAGACCATATTCTTTTTGCAAGAACTTTGGCAACAATGGTAGAAATGTGACACGGGCAATTTGCGTTTGCGATGTGGCCTCAGTCAAAAATGTGAAGATATCATTACGCGAGAGAACCATCGGCTGGAAGGGGAAGGATGGCTGCGAATGTTTTCAACATGCACCTGCAATTGTCCACCGGAATTTATAATGGGAAAATGTTGACAATTGTCTGCTTTTGAGACCGAACGTAAGTTAAATTTTCAAATTTGATGCCACCTCGTTATATTTTTTTGGTATTATGCTTCATTAGGGATTTTTAAGGAAAATTTTGAACGTTTTCATGTTGGTCTTGTTTTTTTCAGAACGATTTTTAAATCAACTCTCTATTTTTTGTTATACTTCCTTTTGCTTTTCTCTTCTCGTTAAAAGGTTTTCGAAATTCTTGTGGTGAACAAAAATTTTGTTGGGCAAAGTAACTGAATGTAACTTCTTTAATTTCTAGAAATATTTCTCTCTAACTTCTTATGTGTTGATTGACGAAATTACATGAAAATTCTAAATGAACATTAACAAAAAATTCGGCAATATTTTTTGACAATTTTAAACTGCTTTCCAATTTTTTCCAAACCAAATTATTGTCCGTTTTTTAACTACGTCTTTATGAACATACCATACTATTTTTTACAATTTTCATCTTAGCAATTTTCAGAGACATAAACAACAAATACACATTGTACGTAAATAATCGTGAATCAACATTGCTTTGAGTAGGCGGGAATGTTCTTGCATTTGAAGTCAGTCACTACGAAAGCAGTGACAAACACCTTAACCTTTGCTCCGACTGCTTTCCAAGACAATTTCGGAAATTGAAAAAAAAAAAAAAGAAGAAACTCTTTTCCTCATAAGAAAAGCATGTTTCCTGTTGTACTCGCACTGCCTAAATGGCAACAACATTCAATGGTTTCTCTAGGCCAACTGCTTGGAAGCACGGTTAGCCAGTCTGTCTCAGTGGAAGCCCTTCTGCTTCTATCGTTGGGCTAATTTCTTATTGCTACTATTATTTCTTGTTTATTTTATTTCTTAATAATATTTTGCTTTTTGTTATTATTATTATTATTAATATAAAAAAAGCATTGTGGCAATCATTGACATTTAATACATTATTGCGACATTTCATTATTTTATTTTTATAATTATTTAGTGTCTTTGCTTTGAAATAAAAAGTTCGCATTATTATTTAAGCCATCACTAAAGTCCGTATAAGTAATATAAAAAAATATTGTTACATATTCGTAATTATGATGATTATGTTAAAAGAAATAATAGTTATGATTAAAGTAATTATTATTATTTCTAAAGTCTTATATTTGGCTCTTCATATGATCACCGTTAAATGTTGATAATGCATATTAAAATGAAATAGCAACAATCAAAAAACAATCGTTGTCATTCTTTGAAGGCAAATCTGCCTTTGAGTTGAAATCTATTATCATCATCATCGTCATGATCACCTATCGCCATCATCATCCCTTTAAACCTTTCAAACAAATATATCATCATTTGGTAGATTGCTTTCTCTGCAATATGCAAATATATTTTTAATATATTGAAGGAGTAATTGACACACACACACACACACACACACACACACACACACACACACACACACACACACACACACACACAAGCATGCAGTGTATAAATATTTATGAACAGACGCTTAAAACCTAAAGAAGGCAGACCACCACAACAGTATAAAAAGCAGAAGGAAGTAGAGAGACGAAGCAGCATCTTAGCAGTTCATTGCTACATACATGCAAACGCGAACACATTACACTAACAATATTACAGCAGTTCTCTTTTGAACATTCTTCAGAGGCATCAAATAACAAACACACAGTGCATGAAAAAAACACTTAGAACAGCCAGGTGTCACAGACATAAGCGGGCATCTGTAGAAGAGCAGTGCCAGGTGCTTTACTGCTAAACCAGCCCTCCGCCCAAACATGCGTTACAAACATTAAGACATGCACATCTAAACACACTGCACAGTGCACACTTCTCTGACATGTAAATGAAACCAATTGACAAATGAACTACATTTACAGGAACATTTTATGAACATGTTACAGAAACATGTTACAAACATGTGCAAACATCTACAAAAACATGTTGCAAACATGTTACAAATATGTTACAGAAACATGTTACAAACATTTACAGAAACAAGTTACAAGTTACGACAGAAGCAGGCGGATTACAGGCACAAACACATTTACATACATACAACAACATTAACAACTGCATCTGCATCGCAAATGGTCTGACCTGTGAGACACGGACCCATCAAACACAACCCACTCCATCAGCATGCATTCATTTGTCCCACAGCTTGCCATCATTCAACGCGTAAAAAAGACTTGATTGAGAATAATTACATATTAATATGTATTTACACAATCAATTAAAAAATTGTAAATTTTTCAATAAAAACTTATCATTAATTTTTCGTCTATAAAATTTAATAAATATTTTCACAGAGCGTTTTAACAGGTTTGTAGTAATTTGATGGAGCAAAATTTTTAAAATCGTACGAAATTTAAAAAATAAAACAGGTTTGTAGTAATTTGATGGAGCAAAATTTTTAAAATCGTACGAAATTTAAAAAATAAAACAGGTTTGTAGTAATTTGATGGAGCAAAATTTTTAAAATCGTACGAAATTTAAAAAATAAAACACTTAAAAGAGTTTTTTCATTTTTTTCTGTGAAGTTTAAATGAAAGCAACTAATTTAAAATGCTCTGATTGTAAATTTCTCTTAGG